TATATAGATTTACTTATTTATTTGGTTTAAACTAATGCTAGGATTGGGAAAGTGTCAACAAGGAAGAAGCGAATTGTTAATTAGGCGATGACGATCATTTAGAGGTGACTTCCTTGTCAGGATTGGGATTTAGCACATCATACTAGTGAAATTGACATTTAGATTAGTACATGACGAGGATGTTCCCAAAATTGATTGCGCCCAATTTCGACGGATTATAAAATGGCGAAAGACTGATCGGGGCGTGTTTGCAGTGCGTTTTGGGATATCAACTGCTCACTGCTTCCGCAAAGCCCTAGCGCGTTAATCCGTTTTCATCTGAATAATCACAATCCAAATCACCACTAACGCATTTGCCGCCGCAAACAAGATATAAAGCAAACTTAAAAACGCGGGAATTACAGGCGATAACCGCCTTGTCGTTCGTGGGCCCACGTATCGCTTCCCCTTGTGGTAAAACCAAGCTTCGGAACTTCTGACATCCTCTGAAAAGCTTGTAAACATTCTAGTGTAGATTGTTTTTAGTCTTCTCGTTTTTTTCCCGTATTTGTCCTCCTCATCAAGTATTGAGGGTTGCCGGAAACTACCGGTGGCATGAAAAGGTCCCGTTCCGCCCTCACTTGTTGTTTTGTTTGAGTTTTCGGAGGGGATTAAGCTTGCCATATCATCCTCCGCGCGTTGTGCATCCCGCTTCTCACGTTCAGTCAGATATTTGTTCGCCAGATAAAGCGAATATATCCATAGGATAAACGCCCCGATTGAAAAACCAAAAAAACCAGAAACTGCGAAGTGATCTAGATTTGAGTCAAAGAAGCGAAGACAAACAAAGTAGGTGAGGCATGGAGTTAAAATCGCAAACCAAGCGATGAGGTGCATGAATACGTCCTTTTTTGTCAATAATGAAGAATAAGTCTGTCACTGTGATTTCATGCTTTTCATGAAGCTCAATAAAAAAATTAAAGTGAACTCGAGTACGACTAAATCATGAAGCCAAGCGCAAAAAAATATAGAAAAGAGTTATAAAAAGGCCACCTTTATTATGAAATCAATACGATGGAGGAAAAGAAAAGAGTACCTGTAATATAAAACGTCTGACATTATAAATATATATTACTCTCTCTTTATGGTGGTATATAATCAACCTGATAGAAAAATTCTCAACGTAGAAACAGTGTTATTATATTCATAAAAATGGATTTCAGTCTTAAGGTAAAAAAAATCAGCAGATATCTATCAATGTACTCTCCCTTAGTAGTGAAGACAGTATAAGACGCCCGACAACGTTTTTTCTCTTCTTTTTTTTGTAATGTTACCTCAATCTATCCCGATTAACTAAATAATGTTATCTTGTCCAAACCCTTTTCGGGTTGTAGACGAATTGAATGACAAGGTCACGCTCTATAAGTAATCCTTTACGGAATGAATCATCCGCGTTAGGCGCGGTTATTCTCCGGTAGAATCGGCTTCCGCTGTAGATAACACGCCCGCGCGATCACGAAGATCCAATCCGTGTTTTGCACCATCTCCTCGCAGGTCGTCATGATTCGCTCCGCATCGCTGGTGGAGAGCAAATCGTAGGCGACGACCATCGTTTTAATACTACTCAACACCGCCGCGCAGTGGTGGGAGGGAAGGCGGTCCAAATTCTCCAGGCTGATCGCCCATCGCGCGCCTTTCGCGGCCGACGACGGGGCCGCCAAATCCCCCCCATTCCCCACCGCCGGCGGTGGGCGAAGAGAGGGTCGCGCGGAGGTTTTTACCATCGAAACCACCAACCGCTTAATCTCCGCAAAGGCCTCGAGAAAGATCGCGGCCGCGCTGATCCCGCCGCGGCGGCGGTCCTTGACTTGGCGGAAAATCGCCAGGTCGGTGTAGAGGTTGAGGACGTTGCCTTTGAGCTGCGCGATGGCGTGATGGACGGCGTCCGGCAGCGGCATCTGCGCGAGCACCCCCGGCGCGAGCCGCTGTTGGTCAATCAGCCGACGATAAAACCCCGCGTTCGCGCTGATCGGCCCCATCCCCGCCGTGGACGGGGGAAGGAAGGACTGGAAATGCACATTCAGGTGGGAAAACTCTTCGCTGTGGGTGAGGTTCAGGGGGTGCGCGCCCTCGAACTCCGCCGCGCGCTGGCGAAGGTCCTGGTTGGTCGCCGTTAACGCGCGAAGCCGCTCCTGATCGCGTTTGAGGTTCACCTCCGTGTTGGATTGCTTGTCGATCAAAACGTTGATGCGGTTTTGCAGGCGGAGCTTCTCGAAGATATCCCCACCGAAGTCCTCCTCCAGATGGAGCAGGCGCGCCTCGATGTCTTTGGCTTCTTCGGTATTTTGCCGAAGTCGGCTCGCGTGCAGGCGCGCACACCACTGCAGGTAATATTGCTCTTGCAGGTTGGCCCTACAGCGCTTTTCCAACAACGTCACCATCACGCGTACGGACGGCATGCGCTTCTTCCGCGTACACCACCTTCGCCATGTGTGGAATAAACTTCGGCAGAGGCGTTGCTGTTGGGTTTGACAATAAAGCGCCGCGTAGCGATTCAGCGCGGCCCCTCGGAAGACGGATTCCTTCTGCTCTTCGCTCAGGCTCACCCATTTTCTTAATGCCCGGTGGAGGACTTGGCGCTGGGCCTTCACGGAAAGCAGCTGAATTTGCGCCGCCAACAACTGCGGGGAGTGTGGGGAGGCGAGGTTGCCGTGGCGAGGATCGGCTGTGGTGGAAAGCCCACCCTTCCGTGCGGCTCGAAGCTGAACAAAGCAGCGAAGCTTGCAAAAGTACACGCTCAACAGTCGGGTTTCCGAGGCCTGCACAATCAAGTCTAGATATTGGAGGGAAAAACGCCGAAGCTTCTTCTTCGCGCTCAACATTCGCCAGTGTTGAAAGTACGACAGCGCGTGGGTGCGCTCGTTTGAGTCCTTAAGTAAAATCGCGATATGGGCGCGTCTTCGGCGTCGAACAAGCTGATCATGCCAATTTCCCCACTTTGTGAAATTACGACGCAGAAGGCGATACGTTGACAATGCGGAAAGATCGGATACCGTTGCCTGACGATCTCTTTTTGACGTATGTTGTAGTAAAAGACGCCGCCAGCGCTCGAAGAAGCGAAGACGAGTCTTTTGACAGTTTGTATTCTCTAAAATCGCGGCATACTTTCGTTTGCGCTCAAATTCTTTTTTCTTTAACGAATTCAACCGCTCCCGCCAGACGGCCGCGTCGTGTGCGTCCTCGCAGATCACCGAATTCAAAGCCTGAATCGAGTCCGAAAGGGATTCTTCAAGGATATTTCGCTGTCCATACCAGGTTTTGTTCATCCCATTGCTTGACAACGCGAGCACTTGCAGCGTCTCGACAGAGCCAATCGCAAGCATGCCAATCACCTGCTGCTGCTCTGAGCCATCACCGCCTTTGTTGTCGCCAACCTGGCCAGCGCCGTCTTTGAGCTCACTTTGGTTTTGTTGAGCGTTGGGGATTGAATTCAACATTCCATCTCGCACCACCTCTTCAATACCGAAGTTATCATTGAGGTTGCCACTCCATCGCTCGAGCAAACCGTCGGCGTAGGCAACCCAAATACTGCTTGTTAAAGGGTCGGCGAGCAGGCTGCGCGCCGAAGGGGATACCGGGATTCGCTTGACAAGGCGGTTTACCAAACAGAGCTTTTTTTCTAGCATGGATTCCGACAGGTGGAGGCTCCAAACGCACACGGTGCAATCTTCTGAGGCAGAAAAGAGAAGCTCGCCGAGAACCACAATCGAGTTGATGCGTTTTTTATGCCCATTCAAGCTGCTAAATCGATTACCGTCGAGCACGCTAGTCGCGGTGATGATACCGGAGTCGAAACCGCACAGGATAATGAGGTTAGTGAGGGCTTTTTTCCTATCCGACCCATGCTTTCCTTTGATGCCATCCAAGCCCCTGTTTGGAGTGTCGTACTGTCTCGTCAACTGCAATGTCGCCAGGGATGTCAGGCGGTTCTCCGTCGAGAGGTTGTTGTTGCTGGGTTTCATCTCCTCCTTACCGATCGCCCTAATGTGCGTGATGGCCTCAAAGCTGTGCTCCTCCTGATTCCAGTGCACCAACATCCCATCCCCAGAGGCGGACACCGTCGTGTGGTTCGTGAAAAATGCAAAGCTCACCACCGCCGCGCAGTGAAAGCGGCCCTCTGTTATAAGACGAAAAACAAGGTGGTCGTACACGGCGACGTTGCCGCTATCATAGCCCACCCACACATGCGTCAAGGTCGCCTTCAACGCGGAGGGCTTCTCGACCCCTCCCATCCCCATCAGCAGCTTTCGCTCAGCGTGTGGGGGGGAAGGGAAAGGGGGGGAAAATAGCCCCGCGGAGTTTCCGGAGTTCTCCTTTCCCCCACCCCACACGAGCTCGTGGGAGCGGGGCGGGATGCGAAGGACGCGTTGCCCGCTCACGCAGCTGTAGACGTCGAGGTGGCCGGTGTTGCGGTCGCCGGCCCAGAGCGAGGCCGTCTTGGGCACCGTCTCCATGCAGGTGTATTCGCCTTTAAAGGCAAAGCCGACTTTGTAGGCGGTCGGCTCGTAATGCTCCCCCGCGAGGGAGGTCACAAAACTTGACGCGATCGGGACGTGGAGGGGGCCGGCGGAGCCGTGGGTGTGGCTGCGCGCGGCGGGGAAGCGCGGCAGGGGACGCTGGGAGGTGTCCGCTTCCTCTTCCCCCTCTTCCTTTTCCTTTTCCTTTTCCTCCTTGTCCGGG